AAAAAAAAAAAAAAAAAAAGATTTTTTTTCCCCCTTTGACTAAATTATCCCTTTGGTAGTTCTAAAAGACAAAAGATTTCTTTCTTTCTTTTTGAAGAGGAATTTTTAGGCCAATGAGGTAAACGGCCTGTATGAACTCATTCTTTTCAATTTCCTAGGCAGCTTTACGGTGAAAGGCTGGATTGGCTGGAAGGAGATACACTGTGAAGGAGGAGAGGGGCATTATGAAGTCACACGTGCCCCCCCCCCCCTTTCTTACTGTCTCAGATCACATCCCATTTTCCCTTTCCCATCACCACTGAGTTTTCAAAATCATAGTCACTACCTACTTGCTCCCACATGCCTTTAAAGTTGGCTTAGGGTCATATCACCAGTGGGAAAAATTTTTTTTTTTTTTAATTTTTTTTTTTTTCAATGTTTATTTATTTTTGGGACAGAGAGAGACAGAGCATGAACGGGGGAGGGGCAGAGAGAGAGGGAGACACAGAATCGGAAACAGGCTCCAGGCTCTGAGCCATCAGCCCAGAGCCCGACGCGGGGCTCGAACTCACGGACCGCGAGATCGTGACCTGGCTGAAGTCGGACGCTTAACCGACTGCGCCACCCAGGCGCCCCAGGAAAAAATTTTTTAAGGTTACAATTAACCTTCCCATAGCTTGTCTTCAGCACAGATGCCTATAACTCTTAGCACTGTGGATTTTACTCCTGGTGTTCTTTTTCTTCCTGGGGTTTCAAGAACTCTCTATTACCAATTTCTCTCATGTTCTCTCCTCTTCTCTGGTTCTTACTCCTTTTCATCTCATCAAAATATGGGTCATTTCTAAAAATTTCAACTATTTTCCATCACCTGTGCTGAATCACTCTCAAATGTATCAATTATTCTCACGCACTCACTGTTACATTCTCTATCCATATATGAATTGTAATTTCACCTCCAGCCCTGAGAGTTCATCAAACTTCAGTCTAGCACATTGATGTCATGGTAAATGGCTCACACTAGACATGCTACAAGTTACCTTAAAATAAACTCTGCCTCTAAATCTGACTATTTCTGTTAATGGCATCACATGAATAAACTCTTAAAAACTTTTTTTAAACATTTATTCAATTTTGAAAGACAGAGAAAGACAGGGTGTGAGCAGGGGAGGGGCAGAGAGAGAGGGAGACACAGAACCCAAAGCAGGCTCCTGGCTCTGAGCTGTCAGCACAGAGCCCAACACGGGGCTTGAACCCACGGACCATGAGATCATGACCTGAGCCGAAGTCGGACACTTAACCAACTGAGCCACCCAGGTGCCCTCACACACAAAAATTCTTAAGTGTTTTCTGATTCATATCTCACAACTGCCCATCATTTGTCAAGTCCTGCTAAGGTTCTAACACAATAATTTTCATATCCATCTCTTCCTTACTGTTTCTATAAGCTAGGGCCTGGGTTTATCCTTGACTCCTTTGTCCTTCCACTAAAGGGTCTCTCTGATTTGGATCTTTCTGTCTAATCCACTTGGCACATCACCATGATGTTCACCTCTCTCAGTAGTACTTTAGTAAATCACTTTTATGCCTGTGTTCCTCTTCTTCAGAAGTACTTCGTTTTATCTGTTTTATGCTTCATAAAAGTTATGATGTCAAAAAAATTTGCAACAACCTAAATGTCCAACAACTGGGGAATGGGTGAATGGATTACAGTATGTCCTTAGAAGGAAGTATTATGCGGTCGTAAAAAAGGGTATTGAACAATTGTTAATGATATGTGAAATACTTGTCATCTAATGTTAAGTCAAAAAATGTAAAACATATATTCAGTATGATGCCTATAATCTACATATGTAAGATTTTATATATGCTGTATGTATACACAAATATACCTGCTAATACATATATAAAAGTATACATAAAAAGACAGTAAGGAAATATACTAAAATGTTAACAGTGATTATTTTTAATGTGCTTAAATTTGGATGACTTTTTCTTCTTTATAAACATATTTTCTGTCTTCTAAAATGTTCTCCAATAACTATGTATTTTTTCTGTAATCAGAAAACAATATCACTATAATTTTATGTTATCTTTACTTGGGAGTCAATTGATTCCAGAGTGATTACAAAATTCTCCGACTGATATTATAGTATTTGCTTGAGAAAAACGAATGAAAGGATAATTAAATACTGGCTAGAGTATACCTCAACAACCAAACTGAATAAATTAAAGACTATTGTGTTTTTTAGTAATAGTATCTTATTGTAAAGGGCTAAAGAATTTTAAAAATATGTATAAAATAATAAATTTCAATAGGTTTTAAGATAAATATTAAAATTGGCTTCAGAAAAGTCATTATTAAATGCTTTATAAAATATTCCCATAGGTTCTCAGAAAGCTATGAATTTATTGGTCTATATATTTTATTCATAAATCAAAATTTGCTTTTCAACTAACCAAAATGAAAGCCCCTTAAAGTTAATATAGTGGCGGAAACTGTTATTGAATTCTTTAAAAGCAAAGAAATTTTATGAAAAAATGCAAGAATTGTTCAATATATGCAAATCAAAAATGTGATATACCACATTAATAAAATGAAGGATAAAACTCATGTGATCATCTCAATAGATGCAGAAAAAGCATTTGACAAAATTCAACATCTTTTCATGATAAAAGCTCTCAACAAATTAGTTACAGAAGAATGTGCCCAAATACAATAAAGGCCATACTTGACAAGCCCACAACTAACATTGTACTTAATGGTGAAAAGCTCAAAGCTTTTCCTCTAGGATCAGCAACAAGACAGGATTTCCACTCTCCCCACTTCTATTCAACATAGTCCTGGAAGTCCTAACCAGAGCCAATAGTCAAGAAAAAGAAATAAAAGGCATCCAAATAGGAAAGAAAGAAGTAAAATTATTTCCGTTTGGAGATGACATGATCTTATATATAGAAAAAGCTAAAGACTCCACACACACACACACACACACACACACACACACACACACACTACTACTACTACTATTAGAACTAATAAATGAATTCAGTTAAGTTGCAGGATACAAAATCAATATACAACTATCCAAAAAAGAAGAAAACAATCTCATTTACAATAGCATCGAAAAGGAGAAGATACTTAGAAATAAATTTTTTTTTCAACGTTTATTTATTTTTTTTGGGACAGAGAGAGACAGAGCATGAATGGGGGAGGGGCAGAGAGAGAGGGAGACACAGAATCGGAAACAGGCTCCAGGCTCCGAGCCATCAGCCCAGAGCCTGACACGGGGCTCGAACTCACGGACCGCGA